GTTCCAGAGTACGCCGCAGATCGGACGGTTGATTATGTTGTGATATTTCTGGTAAAGAAGGAGCTGGCTGTCGTGTTCGACGTCCAGAATGACTCTCTGCAGTAGCCTCTGATCGAACTGCTTCTGGAATATGAGTTTGTACTGGAACTACTCCACGATTTTGAGATGCAACATCATGTTGTGATTCATGCGTGTGTGGATGAGAAGTTGCGTGTGATGTAGCAGGAATATTATTTCTTCGTGGAACTGGCGTTGAGTGAGTTTGAGGATCAATTGCTGCGGTTGGTTCTATTCTCGTTCATGCCATAAAATCAGTTAAATTTTTCAAGAACTCTAGATCTTGAAATAAAGCTGAATAATCAATTGACGTAGATGGCACGGCGGGATTTCCAGTTGTATGAGTTGGATGACGATTGATCCCAGTATCCGGATTACGTTCATTTCGTCCAGAATTTGACATTGTCATGGTACGTTGTATGCAAGACAAATACTCGAAGTTCAAGCCCTCCTTCTAGCGCCAAACTGTTGTTGTCTTGAATTAACAACTCAAAATTAAACACAGTTGATGTTAATAAAAACAAAGATAGTCGTTCAATTAGATTTTATTTGGTATATGCACAAGAGTACAGGAGTCGGTTATTAGTTGAAAACCGAGATAATCATCAGTCCATGTACCATGTGTTCAAAAAAAAAAAAAGATCCTCGTACTACCATAAATTCTGTTATTTATAGTACGGTGATTTTTGTCTTCTTGCTCGAAATGGATAAAGACGCATTTAATGTTAAGCTGCTTCATTTTAAGCGGTGGGGAACATCAATGATTGCCTTTTCATTTTATTGGTCCAATCAGATACGCCCAATGATTACTTTCTGTTCAGATATTTGGACTTTGTGGTAGTCGGTCGAAATAGAAGAATCTGACCTTGTCATAATATTTGTTGAACTAAAGTCGGTGTACTCGTATTAGCCTCAGATATCAGTTCTTTTTGAAGATCCTCGGAAGTCGGTAATTCTTCACAAGTCGGTAATTAATTCTAATTAAAACCGATTTGCTGTAACTTCTTGAGAGGTTATTTCTTCAGTAAAGTGATTAATTTCTGTTTTTGATGTCGATCAAGTCGGATATCAACACTATGCTTGCTAAAGGAAATTATGGCAGAGGGATAGGGTTTGGCCGTGGAAACAGTGGAAGAGGCTTAGGGGGGCAACAATTTAATAATGGGGGGAGAGGTAGAGGTTCACCAAGGATGTCCAAAGAAGAGAGGGCAAAGCTGTTTTGTACTCACTGCGGGTACAATGGACATGATATGCAAGGATGTTTTAAATTGAATGGATATCCGGACTGATACAAAGAATTAAAACAGCAAAGGCAAGGTCAAAATGTTAACATGGTGGAGAATGATGAACTTTCAAGAACAGACTCAGAAGCAAAGTCACAGCATAGTGACACCTTACCAGATATCAGCTCTCTAGCAAAGGAAGTGGCCAAATACATGTCAATGCAACAGGAGGCTGAGACTCACACTTTCTCTCATCTTGTGGAGTTTGCTGACAAAAGGGAAGGTTATGTTTTCTCACTGTTCAGCAGGATAAATGAAGACAGCTGGATTGTTGATACTGGTGCAAGTAAGCATATCTGCTCAAATCCCAATTTGATTTCTCATTGTGTGGATATTTCTATGCCAGTGGTTGTTAATTTGCCTGATGGTTCCAAGTTTGAGGTTAGTACGATTGGAGAGGTCAAGTTGAATGAAAACCTTCTGCTCAAGGATGTCCTTTTTGTTCCTGAGTTCAAATATAATCTCCTATCTGTGGGGCAGCTGATTGAATATAACAACTTGTGTTTTAACTTCACAAATAAGAACTGCAAGCTGTTAGACAATGCAAATAACCAAATAATTGCTGAAGGGAAAATTCTAGCTGGGTTGTATGTCATAGAAGGACAAAATTTCTGTGGACACATAAGACATGAGGACAAGGAGATTAACCTTTGGCACAGAAGACTTGGACAAACTCCACAGGATACTCTGAAACATCTCAGTTTTATCAACAAGAAAGGTATAGATGAAGAGCTCAATGCTTGTGACATCTGTCACAGGTCAAAACAATGCAGAACCTCTTTTCCACCCAGTTTTATACAAAGTAAGAGGAGATTTGAATTGATACATGTTGATGTATGGGGACCTTATCATGAACAATCAGTGACAAATACTTCCTTCATGTTAACCATTGTTGATTATTACACAAGGGCCACTTGGGCTTTCCTTATGAAGTACAAAGCAGAAACACATGAGCATATAAGGTTCTTCTTAAACATGGTTGGTGTACAGTTTGATGAACAGGTCAAAAGGATCAGGTCAGATAATGGAACAGAATTCATCAACAAAGAGATGAGTGATTTGTTGAAAGATAAGGGAATAATCCATCAAAGATCCTGTCCATATACTCCACAGCAAAATGGAGTAGTAGAAAGGAAGCACAGGACAATTTTGGAAGTGGCAAGAGCTTTGTCTTTTCAAGCAAATTTAAGAAGGAACCTTTGGCCCTATAGTATATTGGCTGCAGTCCAGATAATCAACACCTTACCTAGAAAGAAATTGGGATGGAAGAGCCCATATGAGTTGCTGCACAATGCCTCACCAGCTTATAGCATGTTCGAAGTGTTTGGTTGCCTATGCTATGCAAAAAGAAATCTCCCACACAGGAAAAAGTTTGATGAGAGGGCAGTTGAGTGTGTGTTTCTGGGATATATTTCAGGAATCAAAGGATATAGAGTGTATGATGTCAAGACTAATGAGATTTTTGTTTCAAGGGATGTGGTCTTCTATGAAAATGAGTTTCCATTTTCTAAGGAAAGAACATCAGAAAAACCAGTTAGCATTGAAGTGCCATTACCTATGATCAGTGACACACAAGATGCACATTCAGATGAACATGAGTCTCCAAATCCTGATGACTATTCAAAGGTTGTTGATCTCAGTCCAAGAGAATCAATGTCAGCTTCTCATGATGCAGGAGGAATGGGAAAAAGGGTAAGGAGGAGGCCTAATTGGATGGCAGATTATGTAATGGATGACTTATCTTCAGGTGATGAAAGAGAAGAAATCACCTTGTTCTTTTCTGAAGTGGATAAAACAATTTCTGAGCCCATGTTCTATGAGCAAGCAGTCAAAGATGACAGGGGGATTGAAGCTATGGAAAAGGAGTTACAGGCACTTGAATTAAACAACACTTGGGAGCTTACACAGCTGCCAGCTGGGAAGAGAGCTATAGGCTCTAAGTGGGTATACAAAATCAAAAGAAACCCCAATGGAAGCATTGATAAATTTAAGGCCAGATTAGTGGCAAAAGGGTATCTTCAAAAAGCCGGCATAGACTTCTTTGACAGTTTTTCTCCGGTTGCCAAGTTGGTTTCAGTGAGATTGTTAATAGCTTTAGCAACTCAACACAGTTGGGAACTTCACCACATTGACATTAACAATGCTTTCCTTCATGGCTTTCTAGATGAAGAGGTGTTCATGCTGCCACCTAAAGGTTATGATAAGGCCAAAAAGGGAGAGGTGTGTCTTTTAAAAAGAAGTTTATATAGATTGAAGCAAGCATCACGCTAATGGAATATTGAGTTCTCAGACAAGCTTCTCAGTTATGGCTTCACACAGTCCCCACATGATCACTGTTTATTCTTTAAACATTCAGGCACTGAAACTCTTGCTTTGCTCATCTATGTAGATGATGTCCTCATTACAGGAACCTCCTTGATGGCCATTCAGCATCTAAAGCAATATCTTGACTCTTTGTTCACTATTAAAGATCTAGGCCAGGCAAAATATTTCTTGGGGTTAGAAATCTGTTGCACTGCCAAGGGCACCTTTTTGAGCCAAAGGAAATATATTCTTGACATTGTTCATGATTTGAAATTGGAAACCTGCAAACCCACAGTCACTCCATTGCCTCCTGGTATTAACCTATCTTCACAGAACTCACCACTACTTCCTGATTCAACCACATACAGGAGGCTCATTGGCCGCTTACTCTATTTAAACTTATCCAGGGCTGATATTTCTTATGGTGTGCAACAACTTAGCCAATTTGTTCAAGCCCCTACGCAGGCACATTGGGCAGCTGCTATACATTTGATCAAAAATCTCAAAGGGACTCCTGCTCTGGGGCTTTTCTATGCAGCTCAGCCCTCCACACAGCTCACCGCATTTTGTGATGCCGATTGGGACAGCTGTGCCTCGTCCAGAAAATCTCTTACTGGATATTGTATCTTTCTCGGTCAGGCTTTGATCTCTTGGAAGACGAAGAAGCAGAAAACGGTTTCTCGTTCATCTGCGGAAGCCGAGTATCGATCTATGGCGGCCACTGCTTGTGAACTGCGTTGGCTTTCTTACTTGGGACATGATCTCTCCTTATCTCTGCAGCTTCCCATACCTTTATGGTGTGATAACAATGCCGCCATTCACATTACCGCTAACCCGGTTTTTCACGAGCGCACGAAACACATCGACATCGATTGTCATGTCGTGCGCAATCTCTACAAGGACGGCTTTCTCTCTCCGCAACATGTTGCATCTTCTCTCCAGCCAGCCGATGTTTTTACCGAGTCTCTTGCTCGTGCGGACTTTCTTCGTTTTATTTGCAAGTTGGGCATGTGTGTTAATTCCCACATTCCCACTTGAGAGGGGGGTGTTGAAATGAGCATGGTCATGCACGAGAAGAAGAAAATAGTTTCATCTTTTATTTTCATTGTTGCGTTTTTATTTTGAAAAGGCGTATAGCGTCTTTTCTTTTATGTTGAGTTTTAGTTTTGTGCACGTGTCAGCTCTTTTATTTGAAAAACAGCTATTTTGAGCTGAGGGTATTTGTACGTGCTTGAGACATTTTATCCGCTTGATTTTTGAGATCTGAAAATATGAGCTTGAAGCTCACCAAAAATGGCGTGTGAGAATTTCTTCATGTTTTACCTTCTTTGCTTAAATATTCGAAACCTAGGCTTTCTACAGAAGTCTTTCAAATTTATCTTCTACACGATAAAAAGGAAAAGAAAAACAAAAAAACCACAGCAAAGCGAAAATGGCGGCCATCGGAAAGTTTTCTCTACGGGCGGCGATAACCCCCCCATCTCCTCTTACTAGAGGTAACGCCGGCTAAGCATACATGTATACATATGTACACTCGTGTTTTATGTGTTGTTTGTGTGGGAATCTAAAGGTTGGTTTATGAGCACTGATCGTAGATATGTTTAGAAGGGATTAAGCTGTTGGCTTTGGTCATATCGTTTGTGTCGTGTTATTCTGTTTTTGGGATGATGTCTGGTGTGGAAATTGATAGGAATTTGAATGTCATATTTGGTAATTAGGGTTTTGAGATGGATAATTGACTGGGAATGCTTACGACAGTTGTAGGTGATGGAGTTGGCTTTGTTCTTTATAATTGTATGATTCTTGTTTGATTTTTTGGGATTTGGCCTATTTGCTTTAATTTGAGTGTAGAAAGAATAAAGGAAACTTCTCTGGAGAGCTAGATACCGGGCATTTGGGAGGACATGTAAAAATGTATTTGATATTTTGCTCCGATATGTAACGTGTACCAACTGTGACTATAATAAATTGTAGCAACTGTGACGTCTGTTTAATTAAAGCAAGAAAGATATCCATCTTTGAACATGGATTGAAAATCAATTATTGTGAAAAACTGCTAGCTTTCATTGATTAGACTATATTATTGGCAAAAGCTTATCTTTTCTTGCGTGCTTCACCATGACAAAGAAAAATGCCGAAGGAAAAATGACAACCACAAAGTAGGTTTTCATTTTTTCGACTAGATGTATATAATCTTGAACAAGAGTAAAAAAAAACTTAGCTTCCCGAGAAGCACACGCCAAGTTGACTTACTCATGATGTGTTCTTTGAAGGGATCTCAGACTGCAACTGCTTAGTCTTATGCTGATAGTCATCTCTAAAATGATTTGCCGGAGTATGCTATTTTTTGCTCTCAATTTACTCTTTTGAAGCATTCTGATTCTGTGAGTACGGGTTCTTATATTGATCTGCGGAATTTGCTACTAAGAAAATCATAATCACAGAATTCTTTATGGAATGGAGGAACCTTTATTTTAATCTGGGTAAGTTGGTGTCTTGTTCGTGAGGATTGATTACCGAGATTCATTACTCTTTAGCATGGTGATTAATTGCATGGATTTGGAACAATTTTATTCTTAATTATGTATTTGGTTATCAAACAACATAATGAAAACCAAAAATGGAAAACAGGCCTCATTTTCAAGAAAATGCTTTGGGTTTTTATGTGAACTTTATACGTTATCTTTCCTTGCTACAACTTAATGTAAGCATATATGCTTATATAATCACTTCTTTCTGCTTCAGATTCTACAGAACTCTCCTGGAACTTGCGTCTTTCTCCAAGCTTTTTCTTCCGCAGATATGAACCATACACTCGAGGCTTAAGCATCAGCACCAAAGCTAACAATCAACTGCAATTCAGGCCAAACATGAAACTCCCAGCTTGAACACCAGCCCTTGCTTGGACAACAACCAGGCTACCTCCATAAAGCTCAATATGAATTCCAACCTGAAGGTGTCCGAAAAACACGATCTTGGCATTCTGATCTCATGCAAAGTCTGTGAGGCACGATCGTTCAAGACCATGGCTCGCGATTCATATCAGAAGGGTGTGGTTATTGCCAAGTGTGATCCCTGTGGCAACTTGCACCTTATTGCTGATCGATTAGGATTGTTTGGGGAGGAAATCAAGACCAGTCCTTGTTTCACTGTGAACCTGACGTTAAAAGAAACCAGAAAAACAACCAAGAAAAAGACCGAGGGAAAAACCAAGGATATTGCTGGAAATAAAGAAACTTAGTAGTTGTATTAGGTTAGTGTAGTATGGGCCAAGTATTTACGTATTATAGACTCAGCCCTTTATGACGTGTTATGTTTTGAGATCTGTTTGACCTTATGTTTACTTATGCAAGATGTGCTTCTCCTTGATGGTTTCGTAACTCCCCAGGTCTGGTAATCGAGTAATTTAAACCATTATCGGGTCGAGTTGCAACCTCGGTGTTAATCTTCCAAATCTGAGCAAGAGGAGTTATGTTTAACTGAATGGGTTTAATAAGATAGATGATGTTCTAGTGGTAAGACTTTTGATCGTTTGTATGTTGGTTCCATCAAGCAACGTACCTATTAATGGTTACATGGTTACAGTAGAAAGTATAACAATTATGCCCAACTTCTAAGTGCAGAAAAGCCTTTCTTTCTCATTGTTCTCTAAATTGATTTCGGTGATTTTGTGCACCTGTTTTGTCCCTTGTTCTTTCTATATTGATTTTGGTGGTCAATGGTCAAGCTACGGGTGAGCAACACCAAGCTGACCCAAAAAATCGATCGAGCTAAACCGTATGATTTGGTGTGGTACGGTTATCTTATTGTGAAAAAAAATTGTTCGGTTATTTTATGTACTGTGGTGCATTTTGATTTTTTTTTTTCCTTTTTCTTTTGTCAAAAAGATAATATTATAAAATTAATTAAATCATATCAGAGCCTAAAAATACATCCCCTTTTGCATTATATATTTGAATACTCTACACTGTCTTAAGTATTTTTGGGAGTTAGTTCCCTGAGGGTCCAATCTAGCAGTTTGGATCAAGTTTAAGAGAAAGAAAGAAAGAAAAGTTTTAGAAATAAAGAATGATTTTGGAGTAGTAGCTCGAGAAGATTTATTTGTTTGAAAAAGTTCAAATAAATTCTGAAAATTATTATTATTTTCTAAAGAACAGCAAGTGGGCGCTAGAAAATGGCACATCGTCAACGTGCATAGGAGGCCACTCATCGAAGAGATTCACCTCCGAGATTAACTCCTCGTCATCTTCATCGCCAGGCGGCGGTTGTGGTGATCTCTGGCGGGGCGCCCCGCCCAGACCACGACTTCCACGTCCACCGCGAATTCCCCCGAGCAGGTCTTGGTTGCCGGCGTCACGGTACGTTTGCTTGTCCCGAACCATGGTACAGATAGTTAGACGTATGTCCTCGATCTCCGCGGACAGATCTGCAATTTGGATATAATCAAGCCAAAAAAAAAAAAGATGATGATTATCTAGTTTGTTATTTCAAACACTAAAGCAAGCCAACTACCAGATCAAGTCTCAAGTAAAAATAGAAAATTTACATATAACGAAGATGAACATAAACAAGAAGGTTCCAGAAAAATAGGCGGGCCTGTAACTTGCTCCAATCACACCAGAAATATTTGGATTTTAAACTTCATCTAAAAATTCAAAAAGGGCGGTCCACATGAATTGTATAAACTACGCAAACAATACGTAGCTAGGGTGTTTGTTTGGATTTCTGATAAAGATTTGAACTACCTTTCAGCTTCAACCTGCATTGATCCAAGCTTGAACTATGTAGCTGTAGCTGGGGTTTTTATTTATATTTTTAACCACTAATCAGTATATATGGCATCATTCACGACTTGGGAAGAACCACATAGGCGGTGGGAAAGTCTTTCTCAGGTTCTTAGCATCACATGGATAATAGCATGGCAACACAGTCTTGTTCTCATAATTGAAAATGCCAATGTCATGGCCACCAATTGGGTAATACTCAATCTTGCAATCTTCTTGTGAATCCGTGAAGTAAATGGAATTGGGGTTGAGCTCCGGGAACTCGGCTGCTGGCAATGCGACCGCATCGCTGTGGAAGCCGACAAAAAGAGCCCAACCACCCAAAGACGAACCCTCCACGTACTTAACATCCATATCCTCAGGGTCATATTTACGAACATCAAAATCAATAGTCACACCTGGAAGTCCTCGTAGGTAGGTCCAGTCATCTATGTCTCTGTCGTCAACATACAATCCATCAGATTCAAATGAGTCAACCACGTACTGAGTCACCACGAGAAGATCCTGCCCGGCCACTACTAGATACTCCCAGTCCTCTGTCCTCGGGTAGCCGAGACGACGTGCTCTCTTGCGACTAAGACTGACCTCGCCTATCTTCACGGCCCTCGGTGACTCAGCGTCCCGAAGATCCCAAGAATCCAACACCCCGTGTTTCGTGAGGCTAAACAATGCTTCGTGTCTTGGGGAGTAGACACAATCCATGTAGCTGCCATCGGAGTGGACCCTCCCCAAATCTTCATCAAACCAGTGGTGATCTCCGATGCGGGTCCACTCCTTGCTGGACCCAGGGCAGCAGAAAGCCAGCCCACGCATGTTATTATAAATCATCACGGCCCGGCAATTCGGCCCAGGGGAGCACGTGAGGATGACCTTGTCTGCCCAGGGCAAGTCAGGGGGGTAATTGGGCAGGTCGCCAAGGGAAGGGAGGGGTATATGGCGACGGGAGACGGGATTATAGAGAGACAAATCGCGGCTTCGGGGGCACATCAAAGCTAGCCAGCCGTGTGAAGATCCCCTATACCACATGGTTAATCCTTCGCTTTCTTTGTTGCTTTTTCCGGTACATAGGGTTATGATTTTGTTGTCGGCAAGGCGGTACAACTTGTAGCTCATGCTTGCGGCGCCGCTAACGTCGACGTCAAAGGCAGGCTGCAGCATAAGACAAGGAGATGACGAGGATGATGGGTAGTGTATCGTTGAAGGCGACAAAATAGGCTCAGCCAACGTTCTCATGCCTTTCGGATAAAAGGATGACTTCAACCTATTCCTACCAATTTCGGCGGAAGAACAAGATCCAGCCGTCAATTTTCCTGCAATCGGATAATTTGAAAATCCGGCAAACCATTTCCGATCAATTGGACGGCTGAGGGACAAGGATGGGCTGAGCGACAAGGATGAAGCCATCGATAGATAAACTTCGAAAGTCGAAGAGGCAGAGTCTAAAAAACTCTCTTCAGCTGCTCTCCTACTCCTTTCTACCTTTTATATTCTTTTAACTAGTAATAACCCGTGCAGAGCCGGTTCTGAAAATTTGTAGGCCCTGGGCCAAATGAATAAATAGTGCCCATATTATTTTTATTACAAAAAATCATAAACAATTTATCATATTAACAAAAAGAATAATGAAGATTATAACAAAAGTGTAAAATTTTATTAAAAAAATTGACAATAAAGAAAGGAAAAAATCATGTTCAGTTCTTGTATAAGAAAAAAGACGACAAAATAAAACAATATTTTAATATCTTTTTCACATTAACCATATGTTTAATTTTATTGTAATCTCGAATAGTCAACTCTTTTGTTGCAAAAATACTAATATTAGTTTTTAATATATATATATATATATATATATATATATATAATAACCAAATAAACAACAAATGAAACTCACATTTACAGTGGATAACTCGATCCCTTATATTGACTATCACTTATATGATTTGAATTATATGCACACAAGTAAAATTTTGCATATTCAAGTAAGAAGTTAAAATATTTTTATCGATCGAATGAAAAAATGAGAAAACAAAATATATATAAAAAAAATACTTAAGTTAATTATCAATTATTATAAATTAATATCATCATTAGAACTTCACATAAAAAAGAAAACTATATTTAGTTATGTGAAAATTAAGGATAAAATTAACTCATTTAAATAATCAATTATACTTAAATTTTTTTTTTTATAAAAAACATTTTGGTGGCCCCAAGATTTTTGGGCCCTGAGCGGCCGCCCCGCTGGCCCTGCCCAAGGGCCGGCTCTGAACCCGTGCGATGCACGGGATGGTATATTTCTAAACATTATTAAATAATAAATATTAAATTTAGTGAATTTCTTATATTTGTAACAAAAGTAAACACGTTGGGCGCAAACTATAATTCATAAATTATTGAATACTTCTTTATACACAACGTTTTTTGTTTGATTTGGCGTCGAGTCATCGTCACCACAAACTAAAATTTTCAAACCACTTCAGTTGGTGACACTGGATACAACAACGTATAACTATCCATGGCTGAACACATGCTTCTTAAGAAATAAACCAGTATGCGATAACGATTGTCCCTGACTCTTGTTGATAGTCATGCGTACGATACCATAATAGGAAATTGACGCCTCTGGAACTAAGGAATTTAGACATCGGAAGGAGTAATAGCCATTCTAGGAAGCAACACCTTCTCGCCTGCGTGATCCCCAGTTAGTATCTTACACTCGATAACATGAGTGGAGAGTTTTGTGACAACCAACCGCGTCCCATTGCATAGGCCCATAGAATAATCCATGTTACGCAACAACATGACGGGAGTTCCAAACTTCAAATGCAATTGATGATTTGGAATTCCAGAACATTTGATACTATTTAAGAATTCAAACGTGTGGATATCATACAGAAAATCGTTATTAAAGTCGGACTTGCAAGTACTATCAGAACTTAAGTACATCTGACCGTCAGATAAATTCAACGATGTCATGTACTCATTGATAGACTCAACAACATCTAGCGTAGGGGCTAATATTGTCCTGTCCTTTAAATAACTGGGATCATCGGTTGTCTGCTTAAACATTGGATACGTGCTCTCTACAATTTGGGCAATCGGATCATCAGAGGGCCCAAGCATTATATCCTCAGGTATGTCTATCATTGCACAACCATCATTAGACCCTCCTATGAAGGAGTTGATACCCTAAACCTTTGTTTTGGACTTTATTCTAAATACAATGAAAAATTATATATTATCAAACATTTTTTATACAATATTTTTTATTTAAGAAATATTATTAAACCTTGTAGTTTTGATTTTTTTTTTAAATCAATCAACCAACCTATGATTATCAGTGTAAAAGAATAATAGAAAGAATCAAAACTTTAAAAAGGAATTGCCATGATTTCTCAAAAGATTTACACAACATCATAGCATAAATTTGACACTACCCAAATTTAGGATAAAAAATTATGATGAGAACCGAATCAATCTTGAAAAAACAAAATATTTAGGCGATCTTACTGGCTCCTGTAATAGCATCTTTTAAAATAAATATGATCTGACAATGAAAGAAACAAATAAAAAAGATTACATTGATTTGGATGGATGTTGTTTCTGTCCTTGTTTCTACTGCCAAAATTATGTTTTTTCAAAATTCAAAACGAAAAACGTAGATGAAAAAAATATTTTAATAGGGCTGAAAATTAATCTAACATATTTATCAAATTTACCATTTAAGTCACGGATAGAGCTTACATTCGAGTTACTCTTCGTACCGAATACCCTACAAATTCCTATTCGTGCAGACCGAACCGAGTATACATTTTAGTATACAGTTCGAACACATTGTTGGTCATTTTTAGACATCAACAACCCAAAAAGTAAGAAAGATAACCTACCATACTCATCTCAAATTCAGACGACATAAGCTCAACAAAGTGATTGACCAGTTTCTTCGAGGTTGACCCGAAGATGATGTCATCTATATATATTTGAACCACCAGCAAGTCTGTATTGGTCTTCGGTGCAAAGAAGGTCTGATCAACTCCCCCTCGTTTGAACCCCTTCTCTAGAAGGTACATAGTAAGTCTTTCATACCAAGCACGAGGTGCTTGTTTTAGACCATACAGTGCCTTCTTGAGTTTATAGACATAATTAGGGTTACTAGTCTTTGAACCCTTCTGGCTGCTTCACATAAGCTTCCTCGTGCAATATTCCATTTAGAAATGCCGACTTTACATCCATCTGGTAAACAATGAACTTCATTAGACACGCAATTGACAGAAATATACGTATCGATTCAAGCCGTGCAACTGGAGCAAAGGTTTCGTCAAAGTACACTCCTTGAGTCTGAGTATACCCTTGTGCAACCAATCTAGCCTTATTGCGAGATACATTACCGAACTCATCGGTTTTGTTTTTGAAGATCCATTTGGTTCCAATAACATTTCCAGATGAAGGTTCTGGAACGAGTTCCCAGACATCATTTCGGCTGAATTGCTCCAATTCTTCTTGCATGGTTGTGATCCAACACTCATCCTTTAGTGCCTCCTTTGCATTCTTAGGTTCTATTAGTGAGGTGTAACATGCAAAGTGAGAAATGCCCATGAGTTCTTTAGTCGAGGTTTTTGAGTTCCTGGTTACCCTATCATTCAAGTCACCAGTAACAAGTTCAGATGGGTGAGCCTTCTGAATCCTCCAGGCTGGATCCCTTTTTGGTTCAGCTTGATTTCCAGTGGTGGGAACATCGTATTCAGTTTGTTTTTCTGTTGAGCCTTATGATGAACCTTCGTCATGCACACCTTCTTTGTCACGCTTTAAGGTCTCAACTGGGTGTCCTGCATACTGACAACACTTTCAAGCATGTCAATAGTCACAGAAGAATCAACATTGGGAGTTTTCTCATCAAAAATTACATTCATGGACTCTATAACAGTGGAGGTACTTGTGTTGTAAAAACGGTATGCTCGACTGTTATTAGAATATCCTAGAAAAAAACCCTAAGTCACTTTTAGCATCAAATTTCCCAAGTTGTTTTCGATCATTATAAATAAAGCACTTATATCCAAATACATGAAGATGACTAAGGTTGGGACTCTTAGAGCATGTTTGCTTATAAGATTTTTCAAAAAATTTCCAACATTTTAACTCAACCACTTTTTTTAACTCAACTTTAACCCAAGCACACTATCATCAATATTATCAATATAATTAAATAATATCAATCAATCAATCATACATACAACATCAACCTTAATTCACTATTCATTCACTCACATTATTTTAACTAACTATCACTTCAAATCATCTCTCTCATACTTTAAATCAAATCAATTTTAATTATTTTATTTTAAATATTATTTTAATATACCCACTAACACCTAACCATACCACCTTTTTCAAAATTAACCAAACCAAACCAAAAAATCTAAACAAAACTAAAAAATTTCATAAACAAACATGCTCTTACCTTTCCAAAGCTCGTAAGATGTCAACCCCATACCTCGACGAAGGTACACTCTGTTAACTAGGTAGCATGCTGTGTTGA